AAATAATATTTAAATTGATTGGTCAATCGACATATAAAAAATCATGTTAGATAAATTATGATGAGAAATCAGTAAATGTTTATTAAGAAAATCAAAATGAAGAGCAAAAAATAGAGAGTTTGTTGGAGTTATAAAAATCTTGACTCTCTAAATTTAAAACTATAATCTAAATACATAAAATATTTTTTGATAAATAAAGAATTTTTTGGAGATACTCTCAATCATTTCATTTTCATTCATGTAACTACAACATTTTCCTTTTGTATCACCAATCACATAAACTAAAGATTTTTTTTTATATATAATGCAATTAGTGCAAACTACAATAGATTCAAAATTAAGCCTGGTTTGATTTAACTAAAAATCAAATTTTGATACACAAATTGATATGTTATGCCTCACCTTCGAGGCTAAAAAAAAAAGGTGCCTCATGACAAGTTACATAGGCAGAAAGTCAACAACAAGTCAAACAAAGACCCATGGGGTCAAAAACCAAAGTCCTTGCTCTACAAACCGAAGTGCTTGCTGAAGCGGACCTCAAAACCGAGCTCCTTACTCTACAAGACGAAGTGCTTGCTGATGCACTGCATAAAGAAGCAAAGAAAGGAGTTAAAGCTCTCCACTCATAGAACCCTCAAAAGATCTCTCCGAAAGTCTCAAACTCATCCGAAGCTCATGAAATCGACGTTGTCTCTTGTAATAGATTTGAAAATCTATTGGAAGTGATTGATGTAACACTTGTAATAAAATTTGTCAGTATGTTAGCTTATTGTATAGGGCGGCCGACCATTTATCAATGTATTAATTGTATGAGTAAACAATTATGTGAAGCCTTAGTTAGGGAGATGAGGCCACGTGGTTCCAATCCAACGGTCACCACGTCGGCCGATACAGTATAAATATGTACTCTTTGTAATTAAAAAGGGAGTGGTTGGATCATTGATGGAAAAATGGACAATCATATATTCGAAATATACACTTTGAAGAAAATATACGAACATTTCATCTATCCTTCCACATATTCATGTTTGTTATTACATAGATTTGTTTATTTTCGACTGGCTGATCGTTGTTAGGGCGATTACTTTCGTTCCACCCGTCGAAACTTGAACAATTTTGTCTCTCGCCATAAAGTACCTCCCGCGTCCATCTTCTTCGTGCTACCTAAGGTTGTCCATGAATTTGATTTTGATCCGAATCCGACAAAATTAATGGGAGATGGATTTAGAGTCTCTGTCTGATAACCCGATTAAGATCCGAATCCGATAATTCATTAACTAAATGAATCAAATATGGATATGGGTCAATATGGGTCAATCCGATCCAATTTGTTATAAATAATTGAGTCGTTAAAATATTTTTATGACATATTATTTGCCACTAAAATAAATAAATTTAAAATAAAAAAGTAATCAAATTCAAAACATAAAAAAATTTAAAAATTTATAATTATTAAACTCGTTTAAGAATTAGAAAATTTGAAAAAAAAAAGTTGATTTCAACTAATGTTTTAAAAATCGACCCGGGCATCGACACGGAAAAAGAAGAGGGTCAATGGTCAAAAAGTCTAATCGGGGTTGAATCGGTATCGAATCGAATAAATAACTATACATATAAATGTAAAATATTATAAAAACAATAGATTTTTTTAAAAAAATTTGTTTATTAATTTAAAGTAAATAATTATCTATATTTTTCTTAATTAAATTTATTGTTGTAATTTATTTTACAATTTCAAAAACTAATAATTAATATATAACAAATAATTTGATATGTTAATGGAAACAATGAAATAAAATATTTATATTTAGAATTGAAATTCAATTTTATCTTATCCCACATCAAATGTCAATAAGAAATTAGAAAATGATATCTCTTTTAAAAAGGAACATCATGATGGTAGAAGTCACTATTGGACTTGCTAGTAAAAACAAGTGGGCCTCAATTTAGTTCAAATTTTTTTAAATAACATTGATTTTTTCTTTCTAATTTTTATTAATTTCGGATTGAATATCCGATAATATAGCAAATCGGATATGGATTTAATAATCAAATATATGTTGGATTATCGGATTGAATAATTTTTTTATCGGATTCGAATCGGATGAATGCAGATCCGATTCCTATCCGATCAATTTACAGTCCTAGTGCTACCGTCGTCATTCCGGTAGGAACGCGTCAAAATCGTACTTGACTTGGCATGAGCGTGCCCAATATCTGTTGGCTCATTTTCAAGAGTCAACATGATATATAAAATGCGTAGTTGAAAAGTAAATAAAATTGTTGATCTTATTAAGCCCTTGTCTGACAATTATTATTGTTAAATTATATTTTCTATATACTCATTTTTAACTATATATTCACATAATAAAATGTTTTACACATAAACTCGATTTTTTCTACTTTTTAAATACATTCTCCTAAAAATTATTATTCAAAACTCTATTTTTCCCAAATAATGACTGACAAACAGGGGCAAAGTCTATCTGACCCCCATTTTTACAAAATTCATTTTTAATTACAAATTCTTGCATAAAATAATTTGACACGTAAATCAAATAGTCCTTTTTTTTAACCCACATTCTCTAAAAAATCACTATTCCATATCTTCTATATATTAAAAGTGGCTATATAACGGAATTTCTTATTTTTAACGGAAAAACTAACGGAATTTGTTGTTTTAACGGACTATGTAACGGAATTTCTTGTTTTAAACAGGCAGCTGCACCTTCTTTCAGTGTTTTTATCATAACTTTGTGTTCCGATATCC